TACCGATGAAACAATTCTGTATATATGTTGATATCGTGAAACGGTATGGTTGAAACGGTGTTGGAAAATACTGGGATCTGTTAGTGAATATGACTCATTAACGTGTGAGGTTGCTTACCGTTATCATTAAAACATTGTTGAGACCTACAATATGGTTACTTGACACTTCTTTGTCAGGAATGAAACAAAATTGGAAGTTTCTTGTTCAAAGTCAATCAGACAATGTTAGAGATCCCTAATGTGAAAACTAGAACATCACATAAGCGAACATTAATATTTTCAGTTAAATCGTGATCAGACTGTTAGCGGGATATAAATTGGACTAAAGCGTTTCGTGCAGCATTATGTCGGGGCGCTCTGATTGGCTATTTCGTAACTAATCAGTACTAGCAGGTACTTGGAGAAGACTCTAGAATCATCTTATATGAAAATTATAAATATACCAATGTTTTTTTATTGTGATCCCTACTTTCATTCAGCCTTTTTATTTGGAATATAATTACGTTCCTGTTCAACTGTCCTCTGATTTGGTGACTTATTTAGTGAAGTCGTATGCAAGAATACTAAAAAATAAGAGTGGCTGGGTCGTTAAAAGCGAAATCATAACAGAGCTTACTGTAACATGCAGGGTTATTTATATACATTCATGAAAATATTAAACCAGTTAAGGCAGTTTGTGAGTCGATGCTCATAATTCAATAGATGGCATAACAACAAATAACAAGTAAAAAGTACAAATCGATTCATAAATAGGTGTAATAGTTTTGATAAGAAAAATGAAATAATCAATGTTTTAATCAGTATTTCAGTACAGGAAGTAGGTCGAACTTGTGTAAATATTAAGATATTATAAGTATAGGGATTTTGCAGAGATTGTAGCAATTTTCATGGTTGAAATCACTATTGAAACCCCTAAACTACTGGACGGCCGTTTCGTCCTAGTATGGGATTTTTGCAAGTGCGCATCCACAACCCTGATTATGGAAACCGAACCAAAGGTCTTCATTCTCGTGCACTGACGCTTGACCTTTAGACCACTAAACCGGCATGATGTCAATCAAATTCAACATTCTCCAGAATCCCATATTGAACATTAGTGTTGATAATTCTTATTTCATTGGAAAATTGCAAGTCCTTCAGTTCATTGATTCGCATATCGCAGTTATGTACATTTTGCATGAAAGTACTTTCATATTTAAATGATTAGAGTCGTTTGTACGTTTATTGCAGTTGATTTCACATACCACAAGTTAATCGGTACGGCAAACAACTAACAAAGCAGTTCAATCGAAATCTGGTATCTCATCAAGATCTTGATTTCGTGTCACGTCTTGAGGCACAACGATGACTACAGCTATTTTTTGATGCAATGAAATTAATGGTCAATAGGTCATAATGCAAGCATAAAACTAAGTTGTAAGCTCATCACATTGACAGTTTCGTTCATTCTTTAACTTTCTTGGAAAGTCAAACAGTTTTGTAGTTTGGTTATTATAAGTACTATATTATGTTAAGTATGCTACCAGAAGGTATCTATGAATGTTTCATTAGACCATTATCTAGATTTATTCCTATCTGAATAAAACGAAGACGAAGAACGATATTTCCTCATCACTACTTAAGCATCTCTTGCCATGAAGTTTCTGTTAATAATTATTCTACTGTGTTTCTTCAATTTTATTGGAATATCGTAAGTACTGTGTTATGTATGCTTTTTAGAGCGTAGACTAAGTGCACAAATATTTAATATGCATAATTTTCAACCTTCTTTAAAATATCCACATTTCACTTTGTTTCTTTGATTCAATGATGTCATTATCAGTAGAAATTAACGATAAACAAACGAGTAGGTAATCTATTATATGTACATATATGTTTTAATGTATCAAAATACTGACCAAGAGTTGATTACACATTTTACCTGTGTACATTTTAGGTGAATGATTTCTGTTTGGCTCGTAGTGACGAAATTAATCAAATTATATCAGAAAATGAACAATGGGAATCTGTCACCCATGATTCAGTATCAAAAGATTGTGAGTTAATTTCATTGACTCTAGAAAAAGCCCTTCATGTGCTGTAATAATACTCTACTTTTAAACACAGAAAGCTAGAGTTATTCGTTGCTACTTATAATTCTATAGATCTATAAAAAGACTAGTTTGAATCCCATTCAAAAATGTAATCTAAACGTATAAAAGACATTTGTTCTGAATATGAAGTATCTAAGTGGATGCGAAGATGTACAACATGGGACCATCTATATTTACGTTACCCCAATCACTCTATTATGATCAATCTTTAACCACAACATTCACGGCTTCCAAATATTTATCATGTTTTATGAATAGCTACTGATTTTCGCACAATCCCACATGACAGTTGGTTTTTATAGGGATTGATTTCGACTTGTATTTTACAGTATAACCTTACCACAGCCGAAATTGTATTTTATTGTAGAGAGTCAGTTAGTACACTTGGTGTGCCATATATACCTTAGATAATATATGGTCATGAATTAAGCGGTATATCTCCTTTAACTACAAGTTGGCAATCCATACTGAGTTAGTGGTTTCATCACTCGTGGAAAATTCAGTAAATCGATATGAATATTCTACTGGGAAGTGAATTCCAACCTCGTTTGTTTTTGATGGAGTACGAACCAGTTTTTCCTCATTTTATTCTATATCTTTATTATTAATCAAAAGTGTATGTACATGAATATATATATATATTTTTTCATATATTTATAGAATACTTATATTTAAAAACTTGAAAGTTTTTCAATACAACTCAGTATATAGATAAAACTTTAAAGATTCATTACCTAGATTGAAAGAATACACTTTTTATAAATAATAGATACATCTTCCTCTACGTATTCAATATAACTACTACGATATTGAATTAGTTTTTTTTTCTTTATGTTACAGGAATTTATTCATCATCATTATCGTAACAAATCAGCCTTATGCAAAATTATTTTCTGGTTTAATCTTTTCATTTGATTATCATTGAATATTGCTCGGTTTTTTTTGTTGTTGTTTACATTTGATTCATTCATTACATAACTTTTTAAAATACATATATATATTCCCTATCCATTGATAGAGAACAATACACAATGACGTCTATCCATCAGCATTCACAAAAGATTTCTTCTTTTTTTTCTTTGATAACATCATCCATGGATAATATTAACTATGTCATAATTAGCCATCTTTTTCCAAAGAGACTTAAGCGGTCAATTTGTCTTATATTTTTATTTCATTTACAATTACATATACATTAATTCATCCCACCAGTGATCAGTAATTTTTTTTATTATTATTGTATGAGTTAAACTAAGTCACTATATTCATTTATATTTGCCAATATTATGAAACAGATTTTTTTTCTCCTTTCTAGTTTAAGCTAATTTTAATCGAAATGGTTAACTTATATTTTCACTTTTTTTAAATAAAAAAAACATTGTTTTATGCATTGAATAATATATTTATATTTATACGGTTTGTCATTTCTTCAAATTAAACACTATATTGAATAGATAAATTTATTATTAAGCCAAATTAACAAAAGACTCTGGTTGAGTTGCATTTATATATTTATGCCAAAGTAGTATCAAAGCAAATGTATTGTCATAATCAGATAACAAAATGTTAAGGACAGTCTATTGCTTGGATAAAATGAGAATATAGTATTGACATATCATAACCGTTTCACAATATTGATCTGAATGGTGAGTGTCATTGTGTAGTGAACAAGAACACGGGTGGAGACAAACGGATGTATTTAGCACAACAATTACAGTCTATCTCAACAAAATCTGAATACCATATAGTAAATCGTCAATTTGCAAAATATTCATGCATCAAACCAAACTGGACTGTTTCTGTTGCAAACACCAATCCATTGTCTCCCATTCCATTGTTCATGCATTTTCTTACAAATTCCATTGTGTTCTCGCTCTACCTTTCTTGATTTTCGCCATTTTCCGCTGCCAGACATTACGTTCTTCTAACGCACGTTATATACTACTTATATCAATATAAGAAGCTCACACCACAATTGTATTGCAAACACTACCCCAAATCCAAGAGAAAGTTATTAATGAGTGGGTGAATGTTTTGGTTTGATTATAAATTCATAATCTGTCATTTAAATAAAATAATTGTAACATATTTACCGAGTCCCTCTGAGTTAAACTTTTGTGTGAGAGCTGGTGATATCACCTGTATGTTCTAAGTCAAAGTTTAGAATGGTTCTAACTTGCGACCCATCGATTAAACGTCAAATGCTTAAAACACATAAATTTCGTCCAACATCAGCCACTTATTTAAATATCTGTCGACTCAGTTTTATCTACCTCAATAAAAGGTTCCTTACTTGAAATCATTAGATGCAGATCTACTGAATTATTTTGTGAAAAGGTGTAACTATTCTTAACGCTCTATCGTACAAAACATGTAGTAGTGTACATCTTGATAACCTTAAAAATTCTGAAATTTACTTGCAAAATGTTGAGCTTTTACTAAAAGACCACGTAAATGTTTGGTAACTGCGCAATTTAATGTGGATTAATTAAGTAATCTACAAATTGACAGTACAAATTTTACGCTTTTAATAACAATAATTTAACGGAATAGTCTTTGTGATGTATAACATCAAGATGTTTTTGGTTAAAAGTGGTATGCTGAAAACCAGGGATTATAAATATATAACCCGAAGTACAAATAAAAAAGATAATCAATTAAAAATTATGGAAATAAGGTTTTGTCACTAAAATCTCATTTTCTCATATTAAGGTTCCCAGTTGTGTATTTTAAACATAAAACTAGTATAAAAATAATCCATTTATGTGGTTGATAAATTATGTTTAAGAAGTTATTCGGAATTTAAATGAACCTTAGAGGTGTAGGCATAGACTATTTAGCTTGTTTATTTATATCAGCTTTTCAATGTATCTTGACAGTTCTTTTTACAACATTAAAATTACTAACTGCTTTAGTATATGTATATATTTATATTAACAAAGACGATAACTATGTACAGTGTAATATGATCACAACTATAAATGTACACGAATTACATTTATAAGTATCAGTTAGCAGACATCAATATAGTTCATAGTCTGTAAATTTTATCGAAAACTCCGCCCTCGTCGACCACCTCGTTGATGGGTTCCAGAATGATGGCGTGAACCACGTAAATTGACAGTAGGATTATTCGGTGTTTCCTTTTTTCTTACAATAGTGAATAATGAACATAATGATTCTGTACAGAATGCACATCCAGAGAATGTAGTGCTAATTTTTTCAGAATTATCTTCGCTTGAATTAGGGACTTTACCCTGGAAACAAAATAGGAGGATTTGAAATGATGACAATCATATTATCAGTTCAATTTATTACATGATGAAATTTAGTACCTATGCAATTATCTATTCAGGTTCAGCATACATAGGCCTAGTAAAATAGCAGCGATAGTTTTCTTATTTAATGAAATTTATCACACAAGTATCTTACTCAGCTTAGTCCCATTTCAGTTGACTGAAATACACACTTTTATTTCAACTATCGTTCAGACAGTAACAGTAATTGTGAGATTTTTACAATAAGCAAAAGAAGGGTAATCGGTACCAAAGTTTATATATATATATATATATATATATATATATATATATATATATATATATATATATATGCCCGTTGATACCATCTTAGCAATTAGAGCGGATATGTATTTTAAAAGAACCGTCCATGATTATGTATCGAACTTTCGTCTAGTTGTTCTTTCTCGAATGGTAGAAAAAAACTGACTATTATTAAATTGCGAATCGCAGGTTAAATGCAATACGGAAACCTGATAATTTATAACTACGATAATACCATAGACGAATAGTAATCATACGAGAAGTTCTCACTTAAGAATATCTTTGCAGTAATTAATATCAGCAAAACAAGTGCAACTTCACAGATGAGTAGGCCTAACAGCTATGATCAACAACCACGGCTAAGCTTGTGACGATACTTACAATTTGTTTCATATTTTGAACAATTTTTTTCTGAGCGTATATTTTACATTCCTTCTAATATTGAAGCCAATTATTAGTATAAACAATTGGACTCAACAAACGTTGCTGATGAATTAATGTAATTTTTAAACATACTACACAAAAAGGCATATACAGACTAGTCAACAAATTAGATCTGAATTAAGGGAGATTTAAAATTATCGAGTTTTGTTTATGTTAAACAAATGAGTAAAATCAGGTAAAATATTTTTTTCTAAAAATGCAGTTTGTACATACCGGATCAAGTCTCAAGTTAAGATGCATAGCTGTACATACTGAACAGCTAACATTTTTGACAGACATACTTTTTACAGCGTCAGAAATAGACAGGAATGTTGGACATCTACAGTAGAACAGAAACAATGCGCATCAAATAAGTCAGAACAATAAAAAAGTTTTTAGTGGAAAATGAAAAAAAAGCATTCATCAAAAAACTCTGAAATTAGTTCTTGAACTTACGTACACGAAATCTGAAAGTGACTCTTATGAAATCCACATAAGTATGCTTAAATATGCACCGAAAGAACACAATCAAAGATGACAGTTAAAAAATATGTCTATAACCGCAGCTTTAAGAAACAAAAACTTGAATTCATGTAGGAACATATAAATATACATAACCGATATCCACAGAGATTATATCCTCGGTCTTAGCTGAATGATTTCGAATAATACATTGGGATGTCGTGTACTATTACTAAGCTTATTTATTACTTCTATTGCTTTATGATTAGAATTAACAAAAAGGACTACGACAGAAAACTGTTCAGTTATCAATTCAATCAAAAACATACATTCGAAGTTCATCAACATAGAAGCACATTTCTTCACTGGATTGGCTCAGTCTATTGTATGACTTCTAGAACAATTTGCAATCAAATATTTCAGCGTGTTTAACAATTTTAAGGATAGTAGAAATATATTATAGGAGTCGACAGATCAGATTATTGACTGAAACCAGAAAGAACTCATCCATAAGAACGATATTATTCCACGACCAAGTGTCGAAATCTAGTTATTTAATTTCACTTGAATAATACAATGTGTCCACGGCTTATGTAATCAACTATGGCCATCCGTGGCTGTTTATTTCAAAATTTTTAGATTTATCATCTCTTAACTAATTATCATTAGAATAAAATTGACACGTACTACATCCTTAAAGATAAACCAAATCAAACCGTTAAGTTTTGACTATCCACTTTGAGGATTACTGAACCCATATAGACATAATGTAAGATTTACGTTTAAATTGTATTCAAATTTAACAGAATCTACTCTACTTTCTATTCACAAAAAAACATGCTGAACAAACAAATAATCTTCGACCTAGTTATTCACAGTATTTTATATGATGATGAATGACATGATTGTTATTTATGAAGTTTTAACCCTGTGTACAAATATAAATATTTCAATTATGTTGATTTTATACCATAAAATAACACTATACTGCTGATTTCAAATGTTTACTTTATTTTTCATCAGTTTGTCTCGTTAACATGTTACTGCTTTAATTGTATCATTACTACTAATTAGTAATACTATTTCAACGACATAAAATTCTATTATTTTAATGACAAATAGGAATAGTTAAAAATAAGAAAACAAATGAATTTAACTAAGCAATTCAATTTCTTAATATAATTTTAAAAGCCTATCTATTTGATAGTATAATGTGAGAATCAGTTTTCAGTTAAATCTAAATAGTAGTTTATCGGAATTTCGCATAAAATATCATAAACTAACATGAAATGAATAGTTGTTCAATATCATATACAAATATATATACACGTTAAAAACGATCATCTTGTCTTTTTCCCAATGAAAAAGAGTATTTTAAAAAAATAAACAAATAAAAGTTTTAAGATATAGGTATATTTTAGACTTGTACAATAAGAATAACTATTTCCATAATTTATGAACTATCATATGTTTTCTGAAAGTTATGCAGTGAAACTTCATCATGTAGTGAATGACTCGAAACTACGAATAATGAAATAATCAGAATGGGTTTTGTGGAGATTTTAGAAATTTCACAGATTGAAATCATGAGTCAGTTGAAGCTATACCACCATTGAAAACCTGGAAGCACTGGACGGCCGATTCATCCTAGTATGGGACTCCTCAGCAGCTTCAACTGACTCATGATTTCAATCTGTGAAATTTCTAAAATCTCCACAAAACCGATTCTTATAATAATCAACTTCTCACTAGTGACTGACTTCAGGAAAAACCCCCGAAGTTCTAGTGAGAAGCCGTTACCAGTGGAGTTCAACCAGATCTGTTGTGAGATAGAAACTCACTGGAGACAATGGTGTACGGTGGCGCAACTTCGTGGATTGGTTGAAGTTAGACAGTAACACCGTTGGATGCCGGCTCAGTGGTCTAGTCGTTAAGTGCTCGCGCGCGAAGCCAGTAGGTTCTGGGTTCGAGCCCCGCGTGGTGCGAGATCGTGGATGCGCACTGCTGAGGAGTCCCATACTAGGACGAAACGGCCGTCTAGTGCTTCCAGGTTTTCATTGGTGGTCTAGCTTCGACTGACTCATGATTTCAATCTGTGAAATGAAATAATCATCAAGATATATCGCAACTTGATAAGAATGAAGTTTGTGTTACTTAGGTGAGATTATGATTTTAAAAAAAAGAAAAGAATTACGTAATAATAATAAACGAACCTATTACAATTTAAACGATATTTTGGTGCATTAGAATCATCTAAAACTAGTATACCATATGGACAATCAGGACATGCATCAACTCCTAATGATTCCATTGATTGTGGACATGTTGGATGAGGACATCTATTACAACCGGATAATTTTGGCATTGATTCAAATGGTGGATGAGAAAAACAATATGGACAAAAAACCATATTCTATGTAAATAAATAAACGAAATAAATTATTTTTTGTTAGAGTAGGTGTTACACAAATTATTTTCAATATATGTATTAATAAACAAATAATAGAATAGAAAAAAAACTTCATAAGAGATCATAAATTAAAATTCTAGTTATTGAAACAAAAATCTAGATTTAATAAAATATGCTAATTTCACTATATTCGTTTCTATGGCAATATAAACTCCATGTTATTCCCTCTTTGTCTGGTTATTATCTCTTTTTTTTCAAAGATTAACTGTATTAACAGTGGAATAGAATATAAGCTAAACTGTTGGCATAAAAAGTTGTATGGATGAAAATGAGGAAATATAAATATTATCGTTATATGATATAACTAAATGGGAATAACAATTTTGATATGTAAATCCCTAATTTATGTATGAATACACACAAGTGGACCATAAAACAGATGGATCTCAATGTCTAGAAGGTCACCTATATTCATATTATATATTAAGGATACATCAGGAACTACATCAAAGATTATTGATACTGTTTGAAATAGGCGTAGTTCATAAACAACTCGTAAGCTACTAGTATTTGACCACAGATGCCTTAGAAATATTGCTGGCGTCTGCTGGGATAACCGGGTAAGTAATAGTGAGGTTAGACTCAGGGTATCAGGGAATGATGGTAAATTAGTTGATGAAGTTGTGAGTCTTCATCAACTGAAATAGTTGGGTCACGTGTTACGTATGCCTGAACATCGATTACTACGACGTGCAATGCTAACCGGTGTAGGGGATGGTTGGAGGAAAGTTAGGGGCGGCCAAACCAAAACGTGGCATCAGTGCTTGAAGTCACTAACTCCTAGTCTGAGCCATGTTGGTAGACGCAGACTACTTGGTTGGGGACCACGTGACTTTCGTAACCAATGGTTGGAGACTCTTGGTGACATGGCTCAGGACCGATCACAATGGCATAGGTGTATACACTCTCTGTCTTCCCTTAAACTAAGAGATTAAAATCGCTTCACATCTTTTTTTCTACGTACTAAATCTTTCTTCCTGTACTATATCCTTATACACAATCATTCTTTTATATATCACCACCATTGACTTAACTACTCCTATGAATCTGGTGTCCATCTTGCTGTGCTAATGCGGTATGGCAACTTGGACCGATACATATATGTGCCTGGTCCTACGTTGTAGCTGACTGACTGACTAAGAAATATAACAAGAAATTAACACTGAAAAAGATCACCTACTGATCTCATGGTGGTAAACAGTTCATTATGAGACCTAAGGGTCATGGTGTCCAGTCGGTATTCCAAAACAAGAATTCAGATCTCTATAATTTAAATTCTGTTTCAACATAGGGCCTCCCTACTTCCATTGTTGAAAGGCAGTATCACTGAAGATGTTGCTTCTTCAGTTGACGTGTATAGAATGATAACACTTAAAGAAACGAATGTTTGAGCCAGTATAGATTGGCTGGGTCATCTTGATAAGTAATGGCAATCACCATGTCAATGTATTTTAAATTATTATAGAATATAAAGCAATTAGTCCCTTTTATAAATTTCGATAGAACAATGAGAAGACGGAGTTGATCTGAATATAGAATAACCGGAATTATAAATTAATACAGTAAATAATAAAAAAGAAACTTACTCTTCCTTTACCGCCTTGAGTATAGCATAGTAGTTCAAATTTATCTAAAGGACACTTTTCGGTTTTATAGGGTCGAATTGTACCATTCTGTGGTAATGTATATGTTTCATTACAAATAGAACAATGAAGACGTTGTGGTCGAGAATCTATAAACTTTAAGTATCGATGACATTTGCCACATCTAAAGTATAAAAATGCATAGTAATAACACAGAAAAAGGATAATAAAGTTGTTAAATAGTTGAATGAATGAAAACGTACACTGTCTGGAGTTATCTGAAATAAAAAAATTCCTGAATTTCAATTCTCATAAAGTTAATTCACAATAGTTATAGACGTTTGTATAGGGATTCATATAATTGTCTAGTTAATAACTGACTACCTAAAATTGAATTGATTTGGTGAACAAGAAATATTTCCGGTTAAAATAATTATATTACCATTGAAAATAAAGATTTTAAACAAATATAAAATTATTGACAGATTCAAATCTATTTCAAGGATCTAACGTTTATCTGATTCATATTCCAATTAGGGTCTAACTTAAGATTCTCAATTATTTACTTTGAAATGATTACTGATTAATGTAATTCACATTTCATGTAAACATTCTAATTTCTTTGATGAACAACGTGCACATTATGCACACAAGAGTAATAGCATTTAAGGTTTTGTAGAAGAATCCAGACACAATCGTTCACACCGAACGATAACATACATCAAGATTGATTTTATGCTTTTTTTCGGTAGGAACTAATTTTAGTAAGAAATCTATATTCCATTTAATTTCCAAAAGTCATGTATACATGTGTATATTAAAATCTAAGATCCACCAATTACGTTACAGGTAATGATTCCAGTTAGTTGGCTCAGGTTCGACAAGTGCAATGGAGATGAATGTCAAGTATAAAAATTAATGAGCCACACCTTCAAATATTTGTCTATAGTTAACCAAATTCAAACAAAATTGTACATGTTTAATATACAATGTCTCTGGTGAACCGTAGTTGATTTTTCTTATTGTCAATTTTATAACCTATAATTAGACTATGTAACTACGTCCTAATAAAGGTTCATATATCAACTTAACAAATTCCTCTGAGTTCCATAAAATGAATTGCAAACGTCTAGATTTAATAGTTACTAGAATTAGTCAAAAGTTACAGTAGGTATGTTAAACACAAATTAAGCTATACGCTTGCAAATAACAGAAATCAGAAACGAGAATAAACAAAAAATGACTCTATAAAACAATTTATTGAATGCCTATGTTATTTTAGTGGCACTCGTATATAATACCTTTAATCCCTAAACCCTAGGATCATAATAACGATCAATGATAATAGTGACTTTTTCTCATGTATCTTGATGTATCATAAACAAGTACTATCATATAGTTTTTGTCTCGATGAAGTTTTCTCATCTGTTAATGTTTTAGAAAAGTTCATCTTGCAAGTAAAGTCAAAACTACTAAATTTTAAAGAAAATCAAGCGAATTGTTGTCCACTTACCTGGATAAAGGTTTACCTGAACTAGCTAGAGTAGTGAATGAAACTTCAAACAATTGATCCATACCATTGATATGTTCAACAAAATAACGATATTTTGCGGCAAAAATAGCTAAAACAAATTGTAATACTAAATCATATTTAGCATGACCACGAGCAATATGATTTAATTGTTCTTCAACAGCTCTACGCATATGTGGTAGGACAAGTTCGGCATCGATTGTTTGATAACCATGAACAAGTACAATCCCTAATGGTGTAGGTTGTAGTTTTCGCCCCGAAAGAAGCTGTTTGATTAATAAAGAACACACACACACAAAAACATATAGATAGGAATAGAATGAACGAGAAAACAATAATTTCGAAAGTAAAAAGTTATACCTCAAGAAAATAAAAGATAATGAAGAATCTTCAAAAAATAACAGTAAATAATTTTTACATTGATTTCTTGTAACTAAGTAAGTAACACATTCCAAGTTAATGAATACCATAAAGTGAAAAGTATAAAACATGGAAACTAAAACGATTGTTAGTGTATTTAATGTTTAAAAGTAGTCTACAATAAAATTAAGTGCTTTTATGTGGTTAATAATTGAGAAAGTAAATTAATAAAGCATGTTTTTCATGAGAGCATAAGATCTATTAAAACTAGACAGCTTAGCATTGAACACTTTTTTTAAAGTGAATAAACTCTCAATTATGAATTGGATGTAGAGGATAACTTAAAATCATAGTTTCTGCTATTTCATGATAATCCCGTATTTTTCAGTCAATATAGGTTCTATATTATTAGATATTAAAACATTATCATTACTATCAAATCGGAATGAAATGCACAATCGGAAAATCTACACTAAATATTAATTAAAAAGATCTAGTCACTAGTTTGTTGTGTTTTATTTGCTAACGTTGAAGTTAAAGATTTATTCTCGATTTCATTTCTATTTGTTTACGTAAATAAATATATATATAATTTACTTATAATTATGTAAATAATTAAGCAGTTGTTTACTTGATTAAATTTTCACATAAAAACAGTACAAATCAACATGGATAATCTTAATGAATTAAGATAATGCTGATTTATAAACGAGGTAAGTGATTTAAGTTTCTTACATGAAAGCCTGAAGTTAATCCCTAGTATTCAGCTACATATATACATGATGTTTGTAGGGAATCTCGGGTTATACCTCAGTAGCTATGTGCTATATAAGCTAAGATAATTTCATGTTGAACAATATCATGAAATATATAGCGACGAACCATTGCCATCTATATACTAGTGTGACAATTTGAACAGCGATACATTCATGCCAGCTTCTATATATACAGTGAACAAGAACTCAGGTGGAAAACACCAATTTATTGTTTAATACAAAATTACAAAATATTTTGGTAAAATATAAGAATCATATATTGAATAATTCATTTGCAAAATTTCATCACTTTTCCTTCACATTCAGTGTGATTTTTCCGGTTCACAATTTTTATTTATTTCCGTTTCTGTTTTCTTCAAGTTGACCTTCATAACCTCATGCTCTCAGGTTTTCCACTCCCGATTGGTGTTACATACTACTTATATCTGTCAACATAAGTAGCATATACCACATACAGACTAGGACTGCCTGAAGGGCAGTCAAAGCTAATTAGCAATATGGTCCTAAAATGTTAACAGTGACTCAATTACGTTGCGTATTTATTAGCCTCTTAGTCTTATTTCATATTATTGATCTCCTCTCTCACGGTACTGGTGAGAAAATGTAGTACCCTGGACTGACATACATCTACCTTAACTCTCGAATTGTCTATATTAATTAATTATTAGTTTTAATCCTTATTTTGGTTATTTATCTAATCTACCTCGCAATTAATTTGCCTCTATATAAATAAATAAACAGTTTGGTTATTATTATTATAAGTGTTGACATTTGCTGAGTCGAATTATCTCTATTTAGGGACACAAAAATAATATGGACATAAATACAAAGAAACAAATACATAATATCATCATTATGATAGGGAATTTACTTGAACGTAACCTCTCTGAACGATATTTTCTATATGTGTTGGAATTGATGCATCAGTTCCAATACCATGACGTTCCATAGCGGTAATTAATTCAGCCTCAGTTAAATAGTCTGGTGGACCAGTTTGTCCTTCAATTAAACTTGGTTCTTCAAGTAAATTGAATTGATAGCCTTGATTAAGGAGTGCCATAGGCAACGATTTATCTTCTATTGCTTGCCAAGTTAATATTCGTGTAAAACCAGGTTCAACTACTTTTAATCCACTTATTGTAAACAATTCACCATCACCAACGGATACGGTCACTTGTGTTTGTTCATAACAACAGTCCGGCATAATCTTCAAAATGAATAGGAAAAAAAGAGTATTATCGTATTGGTGATGCTAGACATCCAGAAATCACTTGAACTTATTTTTGTAATTTAATTGTGGAAATTCGAATCCTTCATTTTCGTTCTAAAAGCGCCCACATAATTCACAATAAATTACAGTAAAAACATCTTAGACTACATGAAAGTAATTAATTACACAATTTACTTTCTCAAAACCGATCAAAATTTGCCAACCAAGTAATGTGAAATGCACCTACGATGTTTAGTGTAAATCTTTCAACGCTAATGAAAAAAAAACTAATGTACAGTATATAACAGTTACTAAGTAATTCAGTTCTAATAAATTTCAGTAACTGACTGAATAGCTTAGTTCGAAGAAATTTTTCACCATGGACTGATATCAATGAAGAATTAAAAAAATGACACTTTCATCTTCGGAGGCAATATGTCTTCTTGGTATTCTAAAAACATAAATCTACACTGAGAAATGAGCATTTTAAATTTTTTTTAATATAAAATCACTTACAGTAGCGATAAAATGTTGTGTAATGTATTCATACAATCGATAGGCTTCATGTCCCAGTTCTTGGGAAGACGCAAAACGCATAGGAGCAATAGGAGGATGGTCACCTGCATCATGACCAGCACGAGGTGGAGTTAACCCACTTTTTAGAATTTCACGAGCTATATCTCCCCAAACTGGATTATTCACCTAAAATGATTAAATCGATGTAGAGAAAAACAGTGGTGGTGAATTGAAATTTTAGTATGAAATTACATGCAAAATAAAAATCATTAATTATAACTAAACTTATGCACTTCTTAGGATGGAAGCATTGGGAGGATCGTTCAGTGTGCAGATAAATATCCTATAAATCGGGTTTTAACTGGACAAACACAGGAAATGAGGGAGGAATGGAGAACTGTTTACTTAGAATTGTGGAACTAAGCAGCGTGGAATGACGACTGTATACCAATGTCCTCTGATCTTTAATATTTGTATGGTTAAAATTCAGTTCGTGATTCAAACGATTTATTCGTCTTAACTTTTGCGATTGCTTAAACTTATTATCTGGTTGAAGTGAGAATGATGGATAATAGCTACGATCGACAACGTCCAAGATTTCTATCAATCTAAATGCAGTAAAACCTATGAACTTTGTACTGTACTAATTTCATCTCATGTGAGAATCTAAAATTTCAAGAAAAGTAGGAAAGTACTGTAACAGGCGGTTATAATCTCTTGTTAGGAAAATTTCCCAGTTTCTTGCAAATAAGGATAGATGAGTCTCATTTCACCTACTTTAGTTTTGGCAGTCATCAAACAAGAACAAAATGTAATGTAATACCGAGTTCGGAAGTTTTCACCTAGTAAATAGGTTACATTAGGGTGTAAAATAATTATGATTACTATATTAATCTTATATGACCAGTTTGTGATAATGAAGAATACTTTAACGATAGATGGTGAATTTGAGACAGGCTGGAATATTGTTACAATAAACACACCCAAAAAACATCAAGTGTAAACTCAGTCTTAAAACTATAATAATTGGTTAGTTGATCAAAGATAGTAAATTAAAAGAGTTAGTCACTGAAGCTACTGCTCCGAATCATGTTGAGGTTCACATCGAACCTGAATTTATTCACGATTCCAATTCTTTAAAATCTAAAATGTTTCAAATGATTGTTTCCATATATACTCAATTTCAGATAACAAGAGTAATAAACGTAAGAAAACTATCTTGGTGGCTTTTTTGAATACTAACAAAACGTAGCATACCTGCTGCTGTAGTAATCCACGTAAATCAAATGTGTTTGGATAAGCTGTTGTCTCAGTACGTGGATAGTTTATGTAACCAGATGTATACAATCGTTCCGCAATAGCCATTGCACTATGTGGTCCAATACCTAAACCAGCACTGGCAACTCGTAACATTTCTACTGTATTTAAACCTTGTGGACGTGGTTTAATTTTCTGTTTGACAGATACCTGGACGACTCTAAAATAGAATTAAGTTTACAAATCTTAAAAGGCAGTAAAATAAACGCATATGCATGACGTATGACCGTTTAAGTACAATTATTTAAATGAAATATACGTTAAGACAATTGGATTCATGAGAAAATGAGGAGTAAATACTTTTCTACATATAAAAAGCCGTCCTTACGCTTATTCATTTAATCGCAAACAAACGTTTCCAAAATGAGTTCTAAGCCAACTTTCTTAAAGTCGTAACGAAGTAATTTACAGACAAACGATTTTCGGTTAGAAAACCAACTTTCAAAAAATGGTCAATTTCAATCACTGATGATCTTTAGATCTTTAAAATTTCAGTAATTTCGACTACGTAAACGTACTGAGCCTATAGCTTTATGAAAGAACTTGAGCATATATATGGCATAAAATTACGTGATAATCTATATGGAAATTTTGTGTCAAGAAAATTTACCGTTCATCATAACTCCCATAATGAAACTGAAGCATCAAGACTTAAAAAAATTTATTTGATAGTTTATTATCATTTTCTGTTTACTTGAAAGTTATAAAATCACAAAAATTAATTCTAAAACAAAAAAATTGATTAGGAGCAAAATAAGTTTTCTTTTTCTTTACTATTTCAGACACCTACATACATGTGTGTTCACGGTCAAACATTATTCCAGGATACTCGAAATTCACGTCAAGCCTTATCATTGCAACGAGCGTACAGAAGCATTATAAATGCATATTTCTGTACAGTTTTTTAAATAGGAAGAAATAGTTTTGAAGAAACATACATATTAAAATAGTTATTAGACTGGTAACAACGTGAAGTGACAATTACAGTCGAATTCATGTACTTGATACGCTTGATTAATTATTTTATTACTGATTATGAAGAAAAGGAACAACGCAATAAACAAGTTACCTAACCAATTATCATATAATAATCTTTGACATAAATCAGTTTACCGCTTTCATTGTGAATCTTTCACATCATAGCTATTTTCTTACAAACAAAACGTTTTAGTTACGTTGACTTACTCTGCTGTTTTGGAAGACTTGACTCGACTTAAAAATACTGAAGCAGCTTCTTTATCAAAGATACGATCACGATTCCATGACATTTCTAATACACTCCCGGTATCATCTACACCCGAGACCTATGATCGAAGGAAAGCACATTATTATTATTATTGAAAATGAATCGGATGTGAAAAACTAATAATGATTTCATTAAGACAAGATAAATCTTGAGGTACTTCATTTAGTACAACATATATGCGCGAACAATATTGTTTTAAATTAGATTGTTATCAGGACTTACTTTAATATGTAATAATATTTATATGTTCGCGTAATTAGTGGAGCAGGTAAATTCACTTTTTATCTTCCCTTAGATCCCAAGTTTCTGAATTCCTCATAGGTTTTATTATTATTACTACACTAATTTATTTTTTCTCCTCGACTTTTAACTTGGATCAATAATCTTTTCTATTACTATTACCATCTTTACTAATCTGGGATTAGTTCTGATATTTTTACTGAGCTATGCAAATGGGGTATGGCAACTTGAACCAATGTACACATATCCCAGGCTCTACATTGTATATGACTGACTGACATACGAAAATATCAAACCAACCAAGACAGTTTATAAGCCTATGATAACAACGAAAGTGATAATATAAATAAACCTAATGACAGGTGTACTACTAGTGACAACAAGAATAAAGGTTTGAATCATTTAATCAAAATTGAAATTTGATATCCATGACTTGCATAAACTGACAATTAATAGAAAGGTGATAAATATGACTTAATGTGAAGTCATACAATACCACCTTTGAAACTCATCTAATATCAGTATTGGCGATACAACATAATAGCACAAATCTTGATAGTTACAAAACTTTTAATGAATCCTTGACCCAATACCCGGAAAATAAATTGGTAAAGCTATTGTTGATAGGATGTATCTCAGCTTATTCTTAATCAGTGGAAGATGTAAATGTAAATGATCAGATAAGTGGCCGAAGAAAATACAATTTTTCTAATGTTAAAGTAATGTGACCAACACTAAGTCAATAGCTTAAGTAGTTAATTAATCAAATGAAAAATACACATTAGTATCCAAAATATAAACAAAGGTAACTATAAGTTGAATTAAAGCCAAGGAGGGTAATTATTGATTTTAAGATCAGTGACATATTAATACTTAATGTAAATAGGAAGACAAAGGTGCAAATCACCAATGAACGTAATATAAAACTACTGTTTATTTACTGCACATAGTTTGTAAGTTATACAGATGGAGATTTAGAATCTGAAATAAGTAAACCCAAGTCTCGAAACGGAATAAATAGTAAGATCGATTATCTACTAGTCCTAGAGAAAATATATGACAGAATTTAAAATTTTCTGCCACATTATAAAAGTTGGCTAAACACTCATGATTATAAACTATGAACACAACGTTTTTAGTTACCTTTATCCGCCAAAATGTTTCCGGTTTAAATGATTGGATTTGATCGTGTCGTTTTACGCAAAATCCAAGTGTAGGTGTTTGGCAAGGTCCAAACGATACAAGATTGCTGTTTAGATCACCATACTTCCCCTTAAACAGAATGAAACTTTTATTCCAAGAGAATATATACAAAAACCAATAAACAAATGAAAGCAAGATATATGAGTAGATGGTTAATAAAAACTACTTACTTCTTAGTGAAAAACAAACAAATATGAAATGCTAGCAATAACTTGGTCTAAATTTTACCGTAAAATCTTCAATTTTATTCTATCACTAACACAATAAATGAGACTAATAAACCAGAATTAGTGATAATTACCTAGTAAACTTATGATGCAGTCAAATTATAACGTCTCGTCTAGCCCTACAGTACACATTATTATTTATCAATTATATTTATTTAAGAACAACATTGGGCAGCGAATATGAAATACGCCACTTAAAGCGTGGCAACAACAGTGACGAGAGAGAAGAAAAATAGTTAAAATAATTGAACAAAAATAGTATATGATAGAAAATACAGTTAAGCTAACAATACAACCAAAAAATCCTTCCGATTAAGTGATTTCTTTTGATTATTTTACGAATTTAAAGGAGAATTACAACAGGATCGTCATTCTTTGGCTTCTGTCCCAGGCATTGACTGATAATATTCTAAGTCACTAGGTTGCACTGCCTATCAGACCCCAATCAGGATTTACAATGGATAGACAGACGCCAACCTGACATAACTTCCTTTCATACCGCAGCATCATGTCATAAACTGACCATCTCGCTTTTTCCAACTAGTTCCAGAGTCGGCAAATAATGGATGATGTGGAAGTCTTTGGGATGACGTTCGTGCCATGTGACTAAGCTACCGGAATCGACATTTCAAGGTGATGACGCCAACTGAGTCGTTGTCATTGTGCTCCAGGGCATTGCCGAACCTAAAGAACACTGACAAATGTTGTCGGAAAACGTCACCAATTCTTTTGAGACAACGAAGACCGACGCCAAACATTCTCAATTTAGAGAGGCCAGATTTCACAAACATAGAGCAGATTCTCTCTCCCTCACTGGATCGTTGTAAACCCGATCTTTTACACACAGACTAAAAACGCGACTGCATCAAATACAACCTAGGTTCCCATAAGCAATTTTGGTTCTTACTACCACTCATACAATCACCAGCACTCACACGCCTAGCTAGGTATACAAACATTTAGCTTAATAATGACGCAATATCGCCGGGAGTGATTGCAGGCACAGGGCTTCTGCAAGTCTTATGAAAGTGCATTGCACTTAGAAGGTGCAAAGCAAATGGCATACCAATCAGGAGCGATTACAAGATGAAGTAAGGATAGTACATATCGTCGTAAAGTAATACAATATCATTCGAATACTCAAGATCGAAAGGTGTTTTTCTAGGTAAGACATTCACACCATCATTATCAACTTCCTAGTTCCATCAAAGCTGTTTTTAGAATATCATTGATGGCAAAGTTGGGGAGGAATGGTGAAACTAGTCAATCCCGCAAAACTCCACTTATGGAGTGGAACAAAGGGGGAATCGGTTATATATCTTCATTCTGCCTAAGATGTTTATATACAGGCCCTACAAGATGTCAATAAACTTCTCAGGAGCAAGATTAGAATACATTCCTATCCAACGAATTGAAAGTATTCCTGATATCAAAAAGCATAAAGATTGTTGACCCGAAATAAGGATGACGGTGCTCTAACATTTGTGAAGAGTGAAGATGAGGTCGATGCATCCACGATCACACCAAAAAAACAACCTGCTTTTCATCGGTCAATCTTTTATGGGATTCAGATAGTCTGTGAAGTATGGTGAGAGCCAATAACTCGAACGTGATAGACTAGATCTGTTGCCAAAAGTTACTACACTGATGACATAGACTCTTTTTATAGATGTTGACGACTATTACCTCATTCCAAAGTGCTGAAATGAACTCTATTTTCAAAGCCTTTCCAAACAACTTAATCTAATCATCAAAGTTTGTCGTCATCCTTAAAAAGAGTAGGAGACAATTCACCCGGGCGAAGTGACTTGTGAAGCTTTAAAAGATAGAGTTCTTTTAGAACTGCCCCCTTGTCAAGTGGATAGGTTGTCAACGGCTAGGGAATGCAGGACAGTCTGGTCTATGTTGCTGGGGAAGCAGGCCAACTGAACTGCACATAGAAAAACCCTTGGATGCTACTGAATAGCGTCTCATCAATTTTTCGAATTGTTTCACTCACAAGGTCCCTGTAGAAACCCATAGCTTATATAAGTGGGACGTTTAGCGACGCCACAAGCGACTTTACTAGCCATTTCCAAGACGTCGTGCAAGCGCAGCCAGTTTTCATCTGTAATTTTTGGTGGGATAGTAGCTATCTTTGAATCTAGCTCAGTTTGGTATTTCGCTGCGACGAAAGTTGAAGCCGATTTACTTATAACAATCTGTTTCAGAAGATGGATTGATTTAGCCGATGGAAAGAAAGATAAAGATGGCAAAAATGAGGGCATGATATCATCTTTTAAGGTCATACCATGCCAAACAGGTCATTTGAAAAGAGTTAAAACCAAAAGTAGTACGATAAAGATCCGATAGGGAAGTCATAATACAAACTACACTAGAGAGTGGTGGCAATAAGCCGTTTCTTACAGTAAATTAGTATCTCCAGTCACACAGCCTTCCCACGAAAGAATTTAAAAATGAAGGGCTACAGAATTTAAGATATACTTCCTAGCCTAACGGAGTATCGATAAGGGTATCATTAAGTAGTCTCAAGGGATTATGTATTCATTTCCATGGATGTAGTGGTGATATTTAAAATTTTGAGGAAACAGACGCTAATTATAATATTCAAGCTTGTATGTTAATTAAAATACTTATTACTACATTATTCGCAACCAGAATAGTCTGTTTAGAGACACGTTTATGAACAGTTATACGTATTTAGATAAAAAGCTAAATAACCTAAAAAAAATCTCGTCAGAAAGGGGATACAAACATTACTATAATTATGATTTTATAAACTATTTAATTAATTAAGGAAAAACATTGCTTTAATTCTGAATACTTACTTGAAAAAATTTCGTTTGGAACCTAGTGAACGCACAACCGATTCGAAGATCAAGTTCTTGCCTAGCATCTACTGACAATGCTTCGTGTTTGTTAGGTTCTCTAAGATTTTTCATAGCACCATGTAGTTCTTGGTCAGTAACAGCACTGAAATGTGCACGTAGAATCCTTTTCTAAACGTAAAATCACGGTTAGACAGACTAATCATAAAATAAAAAATTCATGAAATGAGACGAATAAGTATTTTCACTTTCAGCTAGAATTACGGACACCTTGCTCTCAAAATATGGGATTAAAAGAAACTAATATGTTCAGTATAATTGAGCGGTCGGAATCAAGTTTCTTTATAAACTGACGCTTACATGATATTTCATTTACGAGAACTAACATTTTCCAATAATAACCGCTTATATGAAAATTAAGTAACAGCGGGTACGCAAAACAGAACGCAGAAGCTAATACTTATTTTTATTTATTTATTTGAACACATAAATATTGGTACAAGAGAGCGCCAATATATATGCGCCACACAAAACAATGAAAATTCGAAGAGAGATAGAAAAAAACTAATGAGCGCAAAAGAAAAAGAGAACGATAACGAAGAGATTGGTGTAAGGTAGTGTGGTAGTAATGAGGGAACGGAAAGATACAATCAGAAGAAATCTTTCAAGTAAGGGAGACACAACCACTTTTTATGAAGAAAGTAAAAGAAGGTTACAGCATGATCGCCACTGGCTTCTATTCTGAGCCATATCTGATAACGTCTCTAGCCACTGTGTAGCACCATCTCTCAGACCCCAACCAGGGAGTCGTGAAGGACCGACACAAGCCAGTCCTTTGCAGCTTTCTTTCATACCACGACACCATGTCATTCACTGACCACCTCTCCGCTTTTTCCAACCAGTCCCAGAGTCGGCAAATAATGCACGACGTGGAATTCTCTGGGACGACATTCGTAGAACATGTCCAAGCCACCGAAGTCGGTGTTTCAAGATGGTAACACCAATTGAATTATCATCTCTGTGCCCGAACACACGATGCCGAACCTCTGCATTACTGACATGATGTTGCCACTGAATGTCAGCAATCCTTCGGGGACAGCGAGTCGTCTAACGTTCTCAACTCGGAGAGGCCAGGTTTGACAAGCATAGAGCAGAACTGCTCTCACCGACGCGTTGTAGATCCGACCCTTTACAGCCAGACTAACATCAGGAAGGCACCAAAGGTGGCCCAGATTGGCATAAGCCGCTCTGGCTTTCACTATACGTGCATTGATCTCATCACTCACACGCCCACAGGCACTTATGCAGCTACCCAGATACACGAACTTCTCGACTATGTCTATCTGCTCACCATCCAGGGTCACTACAGGATTGGAATCCTGCCAGTCTTGTAGAAGTACTTTGCACTTCGAAGGTGCAAAGCACATACCATACCTACGGACACTGATTGCCAACTGATTAAGTGCGGATTGCATGCCTTGGGCATTATCGCACAGTAAGACAATATCGTCCGCATACTCAAGGTCGAGAAGTCTTTCTCCAGGCAACAGATCCACACCACCAGACCCAGCTTCTTTGAGCTTCTTCAAAGAAGCTACTACTACATTGTAAATTTGAAACATATACAGTAAATCAAGTGCTAATGAAGTGGAAAACTGGATAACAAATGCGCCTCAAGTTGATATTTCAATAGTTGTAGTGACCCGAAATAAACTATGATTATTCACCAAGCAACTGCTAATCTCCAAACATTAAAGCACTTTTGAACAAGGTGAAGGAAATGCGAACTTATAAATGAAGAAAGAAAACCATCAAACGCAATAACTTAATGGAAACAGATTACACCTGTCAATCAGTTAGTGGAAAAGATTGAGAATGTTACTAAAAAGCTGTCACAATATGACAATGTGTTTGAGATAGTTAATAATTATGGTCTGCACTAATGTTCGATGACACACCTCAATTTGTCACTATAGTTCTTAAACGTTTGAAGTTGCATACAGTTGCATCGTCGAAAATAAGTGAAAAGTTATTAATGTTCTAGAACTATCAACTCTTTTAAAACTTTAACTCTCAACTTATACATAACTTATTCGTTATTGAATGACAATTCATCTTTTAACATAATGCTGATAATTCGAAATAATCAAACTCATTAACTTATATGAAGCTGAAGGAAAAGCAAAGAAATACAATGAATTTAATGTATTCATCAAAAGTTGTCGCTTTTCCTTTGTTTAAGTTTATGAAAACTCTTAATGGTAACAAATAAAAAATAGTAACGCATTGAGAAGTAAGTAAACATGATATATAAGCAACTCACGGGATGTACCATAACTGAATGGACACAATTTATGACTTCAAAACAGATATTTTCACCCTCTTTGTCACAATCCAGCCAAAGAATTAATATACCAGCATTTTTCGCCTAAACAATAGTACTGTCAAAGATATAAAAAACCTCGTGGCGAAGAAAATCCACCATTTTCAATTTGGGGTTAGCTTCCTTTTTCTCAATCGGGGCAACAAACAACTCAGCCTGAATTTGATAGATTAGTAAAATCAACTTACAGGATCTACTTTATCCCAACTATTATAACGACTTAAGAAATCGACATTCATTACGTGACCACACACTGACGTCATTTTAAACCGAACTTGTTCACTCATAAATTGACCAGTCCATTCATGAATAGAACATGCTCCATTGAATCCACGTCGACTTGAATTACGCTTATTAGACAAGGATTTCGCTATTGATTCAGCTAGTGATGGTTTCTCAGCAACCATGAATACAGTCTGCATGGTACTTCCTGGAAAGAACAGCAAACTAAAGTCAGTCAGTCATACGTAACGTGTAATCTGGCACCCAAGTACACAGTTTAGGTTACACCATCCCATTAGCACAGAGATGAAACTGTTAGGACAAATCCTAGAGTAGTAGAGGTAGTATTATCATTAATGACGAAGAAAAGGGTTAGGCAGCCAAAATACAATCCAAGAAAAAAATTCAAACTGGTGGAACAACAAATTATGAGGACTTTAGAAGCTTAGAATCTGAAGGAAGAGAAAAATAATGGATGCACCTGCACAATTGCAAACGATTTCGAATCGTCTCCAGGCAACAGATCCACATGCGTAGTTATGGTCCGTATGCATTCTAAATCAGTGCTGAGCAGAACAACTGGTCAGTTTTGAAAACTAGACTTGCTAGCTCACGAAAATGAGGAATACCTGTTTATAGCTACGGACTTGATTACACAACGGATTCAGAGCCCTTAATATAAACAAATCTTTGCTGTTCAACATGATTTTGAACACTTGCTAAAACCAAAGTCCAGTATATGACTTGATAATTTGGCATATCTTAATGGACCCGTAAACAAACATCATCTAATGCACAATACTTCTAAGTTCCGTGGCGAATTCTAAAACGTTTTGGCCGTCAGTGTATTTCTGAGTTCTAATATTTCGAACCCACGTCTTACCCCAAAGTTCCGAAATTTGGGGAAATTTTGGGGGTTTTGTGCCATTTCGAAAAAATTACCCAAATGGGTCAAATTTTCCCCAAAATTGGGAGCCCGGGTTTATCCGTTTTGAGGGGACTGCTATAAAAAATTTGGAGAAATGACACAAAAACCTCAAAATGTTTCGATGTTATCCAATATTTCTTTAGAACTCTCTATACATGTGTATAGAGATAACTATGCATTAAATGTTGCAAAGACAACGAGATTTTTATCGGTGTTGACAGTTAGGAATTCTTTGTACAGTGAAAATAAACTCTGAAATTTACGACCAATCTGGAAACGGCATGATTACTTTTACAAGTTTAATTACACTTAGTCTCAATTACTAGTGTAACGGACAACTCGAGAAGCGCACCTCTTATAACCTTTGTTCTTCAATCAGCAATTTCCAGATGACAGTATTGTAAGTTGATGAATCTTGTAATTTCATTCAACATGTATCTCACTCGTAGTCCAACGACTCTCGAGATCCATATAAATCACTTCCATTTAATAATATATCATCCACTCTACACGGGCTTTACTTTTTCTTTTGACTTGTGTAAAGGTTTTACACGTTTATTGCACTTGTAGGGGTAGCTAATGTAGACTTATTTTATAATAACTTTGTCATTATTTTTAAAATTTTCATATTATGGTTCATCATCTCTACGTTTATTTTTTCGCCATAAATATTACATCAAACCTGTAGGCATTTTCATATGATATATTCTCCTAATGATCTGAGTGACTTCGAGAGTCATTTTTCAAAGGCTTCCTCTGCAATATCTCAAATATTTGAAGCCGTAATAACTTCAGAAATTGCCATTTTGGAGTTCAGACTTCCAGTATGCAGAGTAAACAACTAAGGAATCTGGTATGCCCAGATAGAAGCCGTGTTTTGAACTCTATGAATCCACTGGTTTGTCGGAATGGAATATCAGGAACTACAAACTCTCAACTAAAGCCTCCTAAGTGTTATACAGTCCGAGAACTGTTTTCCCCACTCAATTTCAGTGTTGTGGAAGTTAACCCATATCACTGAAACAAAAGTTGGAAGGACGAATTAAATGCATTACAACATCAGGTTCCATTTCTGCTAACATACATTTGGGTCCCTAATCTTCCTTCGCAAACCCCATAAAACTCTAATTATTGTCTACTGAAAAGAAAGAACGATCAGAGGTTCCCATCAATAAGGTCGATAACAGAGATGGGAATTGAAGATGCTGATAGGGTTTCAATCATGACGACTGCACTCTATAATAATAAACGCCCATCCACTAGTCGAAAAAATCCACGACAAAACCATCACATGTTAGATCGAATGTCGTGAAATTGAATTTGAAGTTATGTTCTGTGAAGAGCCGCTACTAACCGAAAGAAATTCATGTCTCTGCTGTAATCTGGAGAACTGTCATATCGGTAAAAATCATCTTTAACATGCTTCGTTGACTTAGGAATAAGTGCACCTATAACTCGATCATCAATCGCTCACTTAATGCAATGTCTAGCGGTCGCCGCATAATCTGGTTAAAAGAACACATTAGACAAAACAAGTCGTTACTCGACCTCTATCAATCCCTCACCAAAATCAAAGCCATGGAAGTCTTTGATAAAAAGCTAAACGAGACACCTAACTAAAACAGTTTCTATCATCTGTGGTACTAGTTAGAGCGCTATTAAAACAAAGTTATCAAGAATGAGACTTTGTGAGTCCCTATGTTGCGGTGAATAATGTTTTGTTACGCAAAGTGGATCAACAGACTTCCACCAAAACAGTTGAGTACAACAATTCATTTTCTGACTTCAAACGGAGGTGACTGGAATAAATCTAGTTGTTGCAGACCTGCAACACTACTTCCAATATCATCAGATTTATGAGGGAGCTTTATAGACGATCATATAATTGGTTGGCTAATGAAACAAACTCTAGCACGAAACATGCACTTATATAAGACTTCGAAAAGCATTCGTACACGACGATGCAAACTGTCTTACGGACTAAAAATCTGCTGACGGAGTACATAGTTTCATTTTTTCTGCCAGTAAGTCTATCTATAAGACCGATTATTATCAGTAATGTTACTACGGCACATCCAAACTAAAGAGCATCATAATCCGGGATCTCAAAACGAGCTACACTGGACCGTCTGATATCCTTCATACTAATCAGCTTTTTGCGCACGACATTGAACTACAGATTCGTAAAGGCTCCAAAGAGACTTAAATAATGTAAGAAAAGTGAAAACTGAACAACCATTCAACATTCGATCATCAAAAATGTCAAGATATGCTACCTTAAACGACATATAGGCATTGCTCTTACTGCTTAACCTGAGGTTACCACCATACAAGAACATCTGTCGCGAACGGTTTAGATTTGTTTCGAACAGAAGCCTGAACAGTAACTATAACTACTAGAGAGATGTAGAGAAATCTAGGTTCATGCTTTGATCCTTTCCAAGACAGCTGAACATGTTGAGCATGCTCTTTTGAAACCATCTTTGATCCAAACCCACACATGATACTTTCAAACTTCCCCTCAAAATGGATACCAGTCTCGTAAAGCACATACAGAGGCTTGCAGCAAAGTTGGCCAAAATAGCAAAACTGATCAAGAATAAATTCACCACCTACGATTGTACTTGTTTGGTTACAGTAAAATCAGGAGCATCCAAATAGTATTGTATAACACACCAAGTACTCCAGATCATTATGCTCGATTATAACCACTAAACTCCAATAGACGTCCACAGGGAATCGCACGTCAGAGAGATAATATACAGGTAAGGTTATACCCTCTCATTAGGGGTCAGGTATACCTACGACGCTCTGCCAGCAGGTTTAACTACAGTGAACGGTTTTGATAGGATATACTGTAACTATTTCCCTATACATGGTGTATCGACCTTCGACTGAAACGCTGAAAAAATATGCGCGTTCATGGGAAAATATCCTGTGAATCCATTGACAGATCTGCATTGTCTTGCGTTTAATCCATTATTATTACTCACTTTAATCCATATCACTCATATTTGTGTAAATCACCAATGTACGATCACTGTGCCGATGACCAGGCTTTACTGGAGTTGGATAGAGGTGGTTTAACCTCCTAATTTAGGTCGAATTCATACTTCATGGTAATACCCGGAGTAGATTGTTCTTCATGATATTCAGGTCCTGTGACTACGTTTATGACCGAGTCAGACAATAGTAAAGTTATTGAAAAAGGACACTGATGAGAGTAGGCCGAAGAGACATAGAGCGAGCGCTGACACACTACGGCCTACGGTTGACTATTCACCGTTAATTATCCTTGACGTTATCAATGTTCGATAGGCTATCTAACGATCAGTGATCTGTTTTCTAGCGTGCAAATAGTCCAGCCTGATAGATTGCAGTATCTGGAAATCGACCAAACACGACGCGTTCTAGAAGAACTGAAAGATTTCCATAACATTTAAACGACTATTGCGCGTAAGACACTAGTCAGCATTTTGTTTCCTTTCGATTTTTGTTTGAATTATATTTAACACAAAAAACCAATTTTAATAAAGTTATATTTATATATTTATCAAAATATTATTTGGCTATCATGCTCACTAATATGTATCTATTAGATACTTTTTCAAATGGAAAGAAAATAAACATTTTGTAAAAAATCATTTTTACGCAATCGCAAGTTCATCGGTTTATTTTCCTTTATCGCACGTTTTTTGTCCTTACGCGCGTACGAGTGTATTTTCGACATACACTTACAAATCCTTTTCTTCTTTTCCAGTAGGGCTGTAAAAGACGAAAAAGGACGACGAAATTTACGATGACCTGAAACTTTCGTTGCATTTTGTTTCTTTATTACTTTATTGTATTACATGTTCTGTTGTGACATTAAGTTGTGGATGATTTTTACCCTGTGCTAATTGTTGCGTCCTTGACTGTGAAAAACTAGAGAACAGCGTATTTATCGACCGATTCAATGACACGTAAACACGTACGAACGTAATGGACGGCCTAGAGTTACGATTGGTCCCGATTCCCTGTCTATCCCAGCCAGTTGAGTCCAGAACACAAATCTCAGCCTCTGAGTTATGAATCATTGTATTTCAGGCATATTCTATTTATATACTAACCAAACATACCACATCGTACCATAAAAATAGAAAACAACATTTTGTACAATATTCAAAAAGTGGACAGATATCGACCAGTAGGAAATGTCCATTTAAAGTCCAAGGACACTATTGGACTTAACATGATAATTATTGGTCTATCCTTCGCATCCACAACATGTTCCTTTATAGTTAGGAAAGACGATTGGACACTGCTAAACACAACAAGCTATCAGAAGAGTGCTTACCAATGATAAACTCATTGGGTTTAAAATTCTGATTGGTCACGTGTTAGGATCATCACCACCCCACTAGAGAGGAGTGATCAATAGGGGTAAATAAATCCCCGAAATAAATAGCTCTGTAAGTCTTCGACATTGTATGCTGACAACATTAGTTTCCATGGACTTGTAGTGACTCACATTTATCACGAGAACACGACTGGTTCAATAAAAACAATTATTATTATAACCAATTGTACCAGTATTTGTCTTAATGTGCTTTTGTTTAACTGTGCTAACTATAGCCATTTTGTGCTTCCATTACCTTCCATTATTGTTCCGCGGTTTTTGCTACTGTTCGCACGTACTCCGTTCTCCTGCTTTCGCTTGTACCGTTCTTGGCACGATCTTGGTATTCATTCGATACCACGAGATCGCCAAACGAATAAACCTGGTTACGTTCAACCTACGCCTTTTGATTTTCTTGGCACGTGTTTTTGGTAGCGGTGTTCATAGTCAATCTCGACTCGACGCCACGCTACGGACTCATCTAGCTGAAGGCGCTTGGTCATGCATCCGCACCAGATCAAGAGCGGAAACGCTGTGCTTAACGTCCTCTGCAATAGCTAGCAAGTCTAGATCAGTCGATCCTCGATATAATCATGGCCTATCAAATATATCTCCGAACCTCCTCGCTTTTGTCTTTTGATTTCACTTGGTGGCTACGATTCATAGTAGAAGGTGTTATTGGTTAAAACGTTGTCAAACTCCGAATACCTATGCCATATTCATGATTATTTGTCTAAGGCTTAGTGACGTCTCATTAGAACCATGTCAATTAAACTTATATTCTATCCGTTCATCTGATATTTTTGATATATTTGTTTACTTATTTGTTTTCTTACTTCTTTAATCATTCAATAAATCTGCTTATTTACTTGTCTATATCCCTTAGACTTTCGACGTTAGAACCAAATAATTAACTGCCTATGACTTCATAGATGTTGATTCTCGAAATTTTACTGCCATAACACAACAGCACA